ATTCTTTTGCTAATTTACCATGGAAATGTAGAAGGACCACATTAGTTAGGTACTGTTTTGATACGGTTTTAAGTCGGGATTTCTGAGATATAAAAGAAAACTATATATTTAATTCTGAAATTAAAGTCATAATTTAGGTATGTCAAAACTCCCGAGTCAAATCTCAGAAAAGTGTAATTCTAAACCTAAATTCATAATAATAGAAACTAGCTAGTCTTGACCCTTTCATTGATTTGTTTATCAAATTTAGGCCAAATATAGTTTAGGCATGAAACTTTTCGTTCTGTGAAGATATGCAATCTTCTGAAAATTTTACCTTTATATATAAAGCAAGTGTACGTACAAAAGTTACTAAATGGCTGCATTCATTATCATTATTAAATTATATGAAGTTTAATACGACAAAAATAAAATATCCAGTGACAACTCTGGCATTACCACAGAGGGCGCTTGAAAACATGTTTTGTTGATGAAGCTAAACAATAGAAAACGGAATAAAACCAAATCGGACTGAAAGTTTTTGAAAGTATTCCAAATCTAATTCAATATTAAGTTAGTCTAATAGCGTTTTTCATTGGAAAAACTAATGCAAATATTTTATCCTTTATTAATGTATTAAGAAATAGAGGACAGAAATGCACTGAATGTGCATTAGTTTCAGCCTCAGAGGTTTAGCAAAGCAAAAAAAGCTATAATATGTCCAATCTGATACTCAGAGGCAGTGTTGCCACAATATTACCGTTTTCCAGTAAAAACACGGTAATTTCAACCCCTGTACGATAATGTGGTTACAGTAACTAAGAGATTTAAGTTTCAACCGCTGATGATATCAAACTGCAATGGACAACTTCTATTGAATTCCTATATCATCTCACATTTTGAATCGGGGTTGTCCCGATCATCATATAAGCACAGATAGTTCAGCACGAAAAAGGAAGAAGATACTGTTTGTGAAAATGAAACTGTTCATTTCATTTTGAATTGATTCATTCAATTCAGGGAAAACTTTTATTCTATTTTTTTTTTGTTATGTGGCGAATTATTCATCTTATATGGTCATCATATTAATTTGAAAATTCAACATTTGGTATTTTCTTGCGTCTTAAGAGGAGTTCGCAAAAAATTGCACAAGTCCGGATTCTTATGGTTATATAAAACCGATAATCCGCAGGTTTTCTGATTGGTCCTAATACAAGCTTCTAGGTTAGAAATTTGTATTTGCACTGATCAGAAATACTCAGACATCGGATCTACGGGAATCCATCCTTAGTAACTAACATTTATACTCTGTCCATCTAAGCAACAGTGTGCACGTGATCTCCTAGACAAGCCTGCTTATACAGAGTCGCACTAAGGAACGACCGAAATTTCATTTAATTTTTTCATGCGGCTGGCTATAGGACATTTTTTAGGTGGAGTTTGAAGGCATAAATTAGCAGTTTCTTCCGCTGTATCAATACTCGCCATTCTAAAAAATTTTAACTTTAAAAGACCGTATATGTACACACCACAGGCTTTAAAACGTAACTGACCACTTCGACACTGTAACAATGAATTTCGCCAGCCGATTGCAGTTAAATCAGATAGGTTAGCTTCAAGTGGCTTTAATGAAGAAAAGATAAATGAAAACTTTTATATTTTACCACTTTTATTTGTAACTAACGTTACTCATTGTATAAGTTTGAAAATGTCCGTATAGGACGAAACTGCAGTAACGTTTAATTACAAATAAAAGTGGTAAAAACAGAAAGTTTCATTTCTCTTTCTTCCATTATGATTTCCTACCACGTAGTAACGGCTACATCCATCAACTTATTAAAGAGTCTTGTTTATTTCACCCAGTAGATGCAAATGTGCATAGTGATCATGTTTTGATCCCACATCCAGTTGTAGGAGAGAAAGATTTTGGCTTTCTACTTCTCCATCTTCATACAAAAAAATGTGCGAATATTTCAAAGAAAGAAAGGAAGCAAGCAATCAATTTGAAAAAATCAACTCTATACATGGATATGTATATCATGCAAAGAAGTATCTTTCAGACACAGAACAGCTTCTTCCTTATAAACATTGAATTACACGAATAAAAAATACTTTCAAAACAACCAGTTTTATAAGAACACTGAATTGTAAAAAAAACATTTTTTCTATTCAGTTTGTGTTCTAAATACACGTTATGGAATTGGATCAGATTACTACACAATATAGTAAATGAAAGAGGTAAAATTTCACTCTCATGGAACCCTTATTTCATCCTCACTGGTGAACATCTACTTGGAGAAGTAGAAAGCCTAAACCTTTTTATCCCAAAAATTATTCTCTTCTGAAAATATATGCCCCTGTCAATTTAAACACATAGTTTTGTTTTATACTCTTGTATGTGAGTTTACACTAGTTGCCCACCATATCCTGCTACGAATATTGTCCATCGATCTTCGACAAATTTTGCCAATAATTGTAAAATTTGTAATAATAACAGCGCAATAAACTCTTTTCGTCATCCTCACGATAGTCACGATCAATAGACCTGTACGTAATTTGCCGTACCACCTTCTGTATCTGTAGAGTAGGGAGGGTGAGTGTTAGCCCACGTACTTAGGCCACATATGACCCATTATACATCCCCCCGAGGAGTTGTCCTCCTAGGTCATCGTCCATCCTGTCCTTTCCAGGAAGGTGGACAAGTCGCTGGAAGACATCTCATCCTTTATATCGGCAGGTGTAGGCCAAGACTCGCCGAACACACACTCTTATTGACGATAACTCCGGGCACTCGCACAGGACATGCCTGACAGTCTCATCATCCTGTTCACACATCCTGCATAGAGGTGTGTCCACTAGCCCATATTATGAAGGCGTTTCCCTAGTTGACAGTGGCCAGTAAGGCGTAGATTTTTCCTGGTCATCACCAGATATTTCTTCGGCGCTAGCTTCCCAGGGTCGCCCAAGGTGATCCTGGCAAGATTACATCCTTTGATTCCATCCCATCTCTTTAAGGATTGAGCATGGGTGTAACATTTGACTAGTTCCGCAATTGTCAAAGTCATCAGGCCGGGGGTGCCACTGGGTCCTAAAATTCTTAGTCCAGCCGCTTCCTTGGCTAAAGAGTCGGCAATGCGATTACCTTTACTCCTGTCGTACCCTTTAACCCACCTCAGGATAATGTTATTATCTACCGAGGCTTTGGCTAAATCTTGGTAGCACTCTAGTACTAGCCCTGAGGTACTAACACGTTGTCTGTTCAAGGCTAATAGTGCTTGTCTGCTATCAGTGCAGATTGTTATGTTTTTGCCAGAAATTCCTTTGTGGTTATTTCTTTTGTGGCGATTGAGATACCAGCCAGTTCTGTTTGGATCACGCTGGTATTTCTTCCCATTCCCCGCTTAATCCTTAGGCTTAGTGATCTGGAGTACACTCCACATCCTGAGCCTTCTTTGGTTTTTGAACTGTCTGTATAAATCCGTATTGCATTTGTAGCATCTGACTCTGTGTTCTGCTTAATTTGTATTTTGTAGGGTTTATTAAACACAAACCTGGGTTCAATTGCATCACTTGTTGCCTGCAGCAGAGGTTGCGCAGTAAGCGCTTCCCGCCATAGGCCCAGCCTCAATTGACCCATTCCTACTTCGAGGTTTACACCAGCCGTGCGCAGTCGTACCATGGCCATTAATGCAACCTCCTTAACCTACAGATCCAGAGGGGTCAGACCCGTGATTAATTCCATTGCCGCGGTTGGTGTTGTTCTCATGGCTCCTGTGATGTTTTAACAAGACAATCGCTGTATTTGATATAATTTTTGGATGGCCGTTGCTTGTAGAACTTCCGGTCCACATGCAATGGCTCCTTACGTTAACATAGGTCTTATTATTGCGGTGTAGATCCAGGTGACCACACGGGGTGAACGACCCCATGTGCGTCCCACTGTCCTCCGACATTGCTCATAAGCCACGTATGCTCTTTTTGCTCTACTCTGTAGATGAGAGTTCCATGTTAGCTTCTTGTCGAAGATAGTACCAAGGTATTTCACCTCTTCAGAGAAGTTTAGTTTGCTTTTGAAGATTTCGAAAGGTTTTAAACCCGTTAAACTTCTTTTCCTGGTGAAAAGGACCGTCTTCTTGGGATTGATCGACAGTGAGTGTTCCTTACACCATGTTTCTATTATTTGAACCCATCCTGCGCCTTATCGCACAGTGTGTTTACAAATTTGCCGGTCTGCAAGATAACTATGTCATCTGCGTATGCAATTGGGTAGAATCCATTTTTGTTAAGGTGATTAATTAGGGTATCCAGAACTATATCTCAGAGAAGGGGTGATAAGATCCCTTCCTGTGGACATCCCCTCATGACCAGTCCTTTCACTGTGATGTCTTCTACATTAATATTTATTGCTCTACTAGAGAGCATCTGGAGTATCTATTCTCTTACTACCAGTGGTACATTCCTGGAGTGTAGTTGCTTGTTGGAAAGGTTGTTTTATCAAACGCTCCCTCGATATCTATGAATATACCCAGGGTGGATTCTTTGTTGTCCAATGATCTCTCGATTCTGCTAACCACATGGTGAAGGGCCGAATCAGTAGACCTTCCCGGGGTATATGCATGCTGATTTGGATGAAATGGGTTGTTAACAAATACTTCATCTCTTATGTACCGCTCACATAGCATCTCCATGGTTTTTAAGAAAAACGATGTGAGACTAATTGGTCGGAATGCTTTTGTTAGGGTGTAGTCCATCCTACCTGGTTTGGGTATAAATACTTATTTACCACTTATACTTATACGTACCACCTTATTGCACCACCTCATTGCACATGGGTTTAGCTGAAGATGAAAGGAAGGTCTCCTGGCGACGTCACCAATAGTATCAATTTTATAGTGATAGTATCAAGTATCAGGTTCCTAAAAGTGTAATTTATCCCTAACAGAACGGTAAGCAATTTTCTGGCAACACTGCTAGAGGAATAACTGACAAGAGACAAGATCAATTACCTTGAAAAGTTATGTGGTAGAAGGAAGGGGAAGTCCCGCGATAAAACCTGACGTATTTATATTTTTGATATATGATAAAAAAATCAAAGTACAGAGTTTACAATAATTTTCGATAACATATATATCGGATAATAAATTTTAATGGAACATAACTGGAAAGAAACTGACAAGAGTGGTAAGTGCATATTTGAAAAATATATTCAGAGATTACCTTTCTAGAGGGGATATTATAAATGATAAAGCTTGAAAGACAGAAAAAATGTAGGTGTATAGTTTCAATAACTCAGCACTTTTCCAGAAATAACTCTGATATCTTTAGAGCTACAGTCATATTCAGGGACGGTAATCTAAAAATAAACCAACCTTTTTGTTCCACTGACCAGTTGTTCAGTGCATTCACATCAGATTAGTATGAATATTTTCTCAAGTGCGATTTAAAAGTTCTATTGTTCATAGATGGTGTACTAATTAGAAGAGGTCTAGAAAATCTCAAGTTGGAAAGTATGGAGGCTCAAATGGAACATGAAATATGTAATAATTGGTAAGTCCTTCAGAGTGATTCTATGAGAATGGGTATTTAATAGTAATACGTAATTTACAGGCATATGATATACTTTTTTTCGTGATTTTTGACAGAAAGAAGTTGTTACTTTCATTATATACCATGTTATCTGAAATAGTTTATATTTGGGATCAACTAATTGATAAGTAAATGTAGATATTAAAAATACAAAAATTGAAACAAAACACTGACATGACTATAAGTATTTTATTTCATTATACTAAAAAATATAACTAGTTTTTGTATCTGTCACATGAAAGCAATATTTTCAATCAGCAAATTCTTTGCAGTAAAAAGGAAATTCCTCAATCTAACTATGTCATGCACATGATGCACTGTGCAAGAAACATCTCATTGTGCAAAACTTGTAAGGAACCAGTTCCCAAGGCACAGTTTGCAGATCATGAACTGTCTTGCAAAAAGCCTGCAATAATCAAAAAATCTCCACCACCAACAGTTTTAGAAAAAAGTTTGTACTTCCAAACTAGAAAAGCTGTTGAAGATAAAAAAATTGAAGCTAGAAAAGAACGATACATGCAAAAGATGGATAGACTGGTAGACTCAGGATATAGTCTAAAAGGAAATTCAAGCTCAGATAAATCAGTTCTGCAGGGGTCTGTAGAAAAAAATGTATACAAATCAAACAATAGCTGTGAACCTAGTGATTTGAAGCAAATTAATTCTCAAAGGACAGAAATTAAAAGAGACGTTCCAGTGAAAAAGATGGATTCAAACTCTACTGCTACAAATCCAACGAAGAAACCTGAATCGAAGCCTTCTGGAATGCTAGCCTGTAAATTTTGTGACCTTGAATTACCCAAATTAGATCTTGAAGATCACGAAAATTATTGTGGAACCAGAACTGATAAATGTTTGGAATGTGGAGAATTAGTTATGTTCAAAAACAAGCAGGTTCATCTGGACTCCAACCATGGGTTTGTAAAACTGACTGACGGTAAGTAAAATTTGAACATCTTATATGAATAATAATAATCTTTCATTATTTTCATTTTGTGAAGAGTTTCCTGGTTGACAATTGATTTCTAGTTAAATAAAGTTAACAGCAATAGCTTAGTGATTCCTTTTCATAATTGTTATAATCTTATGATGTATATTAATTTTGAGCTTCGTGAACAAGTGAACCCTTGAACAATAAAGCATGTATACTTATTAATGTAATCATCATCAAAAAAGAACTTGCAATCAATTTAATACTGAATTTTTTTCGCCTGTAGAACCAGGTCCAAGGCCCTCTTGGGATTCTGTAACTCAGCGTAGTAGCACAAATATAGATTCTCCCATAAGAAGAAGGCCTCCACCTTTTAGACCAATAACTGATTTTGATTATGACCCTATGCCATACTTGCCGTCAAGCTATCAAGTTCCAGGGAGTGGAGCAAAGAAAAAAGAAGGTGAAAGTTACAAAGAGATTTCAAGAAGATTAGACTGTAAGTAATATTTTTTTCATTGCAAATCATCTACTCATTACATATCTCAACTCTTATTATTGTGTAAAATATCAGTTGAAGATACTTGGACCCCTATACTGAAACATGTGACTTGAAATGTATTTATTTATAAGGTATTAGCCGTAAAGTGGTCCAATTATTTCAGAAAACTGAACAATTTTTTCTAGGACATACCTTTTTATTTCATAATTTATTTTGAACATTAGGTAAAACTGAATACATAAGGAACCTTCTACATGATTCAGCTGGTATAACAGTACCATTGAGGCGCAGCGGGGCAGTACCTAGAAATCATTTCAATCATAACAAAGGTCTTGAAAATGCAGGCATGAATTCAGCTTTCTGGGGTTTCTGTATTTCTAAATAAGCAATAATGCAGTGAAGAATTTTTCACAAATGCTGATAATAACAAGCAAAAAAATGAGCATATAAAAACGTATTTGTTTGTGATATTAACCTCTTTTTGGGTAAAAATCATATACCTTACTAATGCAGAATTTCATAAATAAATAATAATATAAGATGAAGTATTGTCAAATTTTGTATGTTAAATCCGAACAATCTATAAATTTAACATGAGATATTTTTCCCACGAATAATTCGTAATGAGACTAAAGTTCCTCTCTGAAAAAGTAACTAAAACAATACTGACTTCTTTTCTCGGTTATTTTCAAATTCACTAATTTGCATTGTGCTTCTATGTAATGTTCATTGAATGAAATAATATTCAACGTTAGGTTTGAAAATATCTATTTAGTGTATCTTTCCGATGTTTCCTTGACCTCCTTAGGAAATATCAGAAATAATATTAACATTGAATTTGTCAAAATTTCTCAGATGATATTTGACTGATAATTTTTTGACAGGATGCCAGTCTCAATTGTGGCACTGACCATAATAAAAATATATGATAGAATCACTTGCACTATAGGTTACTCCTTTGTTTATTTGGTGATTTAATTTAGGTTTCCTGTAACTAGCCTGATTATTTCAATACTGTTTGATGAGAAATAGGAAAAAAAAGTTTGATAAATTTTGAATTAAAAAAAATCTATAATTATTGAAAAGGGGATATTTTTTTATATACAGTGATTTTCTTTAATGTCCCCCCCTTTTATTTTTTGAACGGTTCAACTCAAAAAATTGAAATTTGGGATAATGAAATTAATGCATGATTACTTTATTTTGAAGTGAAATTGACAGATGAAACTTTCAAGATGGCGACTGGCCGCCAATGGAAAGGAGGGTCCTGTGACACAACTTTTTTAAGCTCTTGGCAAATGCTTCACAACCCTAGAATATAATGTCAATATCTTTAACAAAATGGCGGAACTTTTAATAATTGCCTAAATACATTAACATTTAACTACATAATAGGAAGTATTGAGCTTGAGGTCAGTTCAGAAGATAATAATAATAATATGTCTTTATTCATCATAATAAGAAGTACAAATTGAATAAAATTCAAAGAAATGATGAATAGGCGGAGTTCAGCTATGAGAGCTGCTTTTAAACCCAACCTCGATTGGTATATATTTTTTTTTTCTTGACATATGAACAGCCTATCCGATATTTCACGCCGAACATTTTTGAACACAGTGACGTCGATATCTCTACAAATATTTATTATTCTCGGCCGTATATTCAATATTTAAGCATGTTCAGTTTCGTACATCTTTTGCTTCAAATAGCCCCATAAAAAAGTCCAAAGGTGTCAAATCTGGCGAGCGGGATGGCCATTCTGTAGGACTTCGACGGCCAATCCAACGACCGGGAACAGTAGTATCCAAATAGTTTCTTACTTGTCTGGAGTAATGTGGTGGTGCTCCATCTTGTTGGAATACAATATCCATATCGCTTCGACGATTTCAGTGATGAGAGGGTCAACAGTAGTTTCCAGCATATTCAAATACAGTTCCCCTGTTAAATTTTGATCAATAAATAGGGGTCCTACAATATGGTTTCCCATTATTCCTGCCCAAACGTTATTTTTTTTCTGGATATTGGGTATGTATTTCTCGGAAAACATGAGGATTGGTGTCACTCCAATAAGGGCAATTTTGTCTGTGAACATTGCCGTTTAAAAAAAAGTAAATTCGTCACTAAAACAAATATTGTGGAGATAGGTAGGATGCCTTGCAATGGTTTCCGTCATGATTTGGTAGAATTCTGTTCTTCGATCAGGGTCATCTTCAGTTGATTGGTGTACCATTTTAATTATGTATGGATGATACCTATTCCTCTTCCAAAGTGTCCACACAGTAAAAGGAGACACCTCACAAACATTTGCGACTGAATAAATAGATTGTTCAGGATTTACTACCAGCTCACCAATTATTTGCACTTGCTGTTCTTCCGGAATGGACGGATGACCTGGGGGCTTTTTGTTATGTAAAGTACCGGCAATTGCGAATTTGGATACAAGTTCCCTCAAATATTTTCTACATATAGGACATTTCGGAAAACGTTCATTGAAAATCCTTTCAGTCTGGTGAAAGTTACGCATCGCACCGTAAATAAAAATCTCTTCAATTTGTTTTTCCAATGGACGAGATTTTGACCATTTTAGAGATTGTTGGCGTGGTACCTTTCTAGTAGTAAAACCGAAATCGACTATAGCTCTTTTGGCAGACATATTGAAAATCTGTCCACATTTTGCTATTGGCACCTGATGTGGGCTATCAGAATATGTCCATGAATCTTTTATACAAGGTGTCATCTGACTTGGGCCACCCCTATCTTTGAATTTTTAAATACGGACCTGTATTTTTTGTTGTTGTTTTTGGATCGTCGACGTTCACTTCATACTGAGAAATTCAATTTAATTTTATATTTCGGGATGTTTCGGTAATATTTTATTATAATTGGGTGAATTATTCCCTTTTAAATTACAGTCCTGGAAATTGGTTGACTGAGTTAAATAAAAACACAATAGCAACTTCCACGTCTCCCTATGTACCATAGAGTTTTTCGAGAGTTTTTTTTTATTTTTAGGTACCTATTCATATTTTTTCAAACTTCCATTACTCTGAGCGTTTTCTACAATGAATTTCGAATAAGAAAACGTTTTATGATTATCTGAAACATATCTGCAGCAAAAATATTATATGTGTTTTGATAAGCAGAAAAAGACATGATAGCAGTAATAACAGTCAAAACGAACACTATAATTGTAATGAAAATTGAAATGAAGTAATTTATATACACAAAAAATTAATGGCGCAATTAATGTTCGAATTGGAGTCCTTCCATTTCGAGACATTTTTGAACTCGTTTTTTTTTACCTATTACTTATTGCCCTTAATANAATTTTTCTATTGTGCAAGAAAACTGAAACTTCAATTCATACCCATACGTAGAAATTTCAAAAAATATAATTCAACTTTGAATGTCATTATAGGCCCAGCCCCGGAACCGCCATCCTACAGAAGGCGCAATCCTCCAACAGAACTGGTTATCCCATGTGAATTTTGTGGAGTTCCAGTTCCTCATGAAGATTTGATTCAGCATGAAACTGGATGTCGCCCAGATTTAGCAAGGTTCAATCCCCGTAGAAGATCACCAGAACCTGATGACTATTTCATCGCACCACAGCCTAGTTCACCTGAAGTTGAACTACCTTGTGAATTTTGTGGAGATATGATTCCTGCTTCACAGCTATTGGGCCATCAAGTTAGGTGTTCGTAAATTTTTTATTAGAAGTTTTATTGTCATTGTTATTATGTTCTTGAACCCCTATTTCAATTTTTCAATTTGTTACAGTGTTGAAAAATATCATTTTGGAGCACTTTTTTTCTTCTTATATTCCATATTTTGGAGGATTATAATTACATTGTAATATCAACACACATCAATGGAAATAACTATATTGCTCCAGGACCGTTATTGATCAACTTAGCTAATGACCAAATATTTTTTCTTGATATTGGTTGAATGTATTCATTGTATTCATTCTCATGTATCATAAGAGAAATAGTTGCTTTTTATTCTTTCATTTTAAATAATAAATATAATCTTTGAAAAAAATTATTTATTCCAATTTTAACCTGGGAGTAATATTTCAGCAATAGTCTTAGGATTAATTTTATAAAAGAACTATTTGTTTTTGAGATGAATGGCATTTTCTTACTGAAATATCATTTGATAAAGAATATGTGATATATTGGTCAGATAACCTTGCATATTTTTGAAGCCAACTAGAATATAATCTAAATGATACTTTGTATTTAGATGCAAAATGGTGATCATACAAAATTTTTAATCCTAAATGGTATGGTTGAACCAGATATGTCGAGGCCAGTGGAGTCTTGAGTCCTTATTGGAATAGCCTGCTCATTATCCAGAATATAATTACTAAGTATGTGCAGTTATAACTACAGTGGAAGCTCCAAAACAGTCTGTTTCATCGTCATAAGATACAAAAATAATGAAAAGTCAAAAGAAAATTTCTATGTTTTTTACCATTTTTATTTGTAACTAACGTTACTGCAGTTTTGTCCTGTACGGACATTTTCAAACTTATACAACGGGTTTATTGTATACTTATACAACTTGTTTATTGTATAAGTTTGAAAATGTCCGTATTGGACGAAACTGTATATCTTAATCTGACTCAAGCGCGTCAGATTGAGATATATATATGTTTCATCTTTATGTTTTAGACGCGCTGTCTCATAATCTGACGATTATCTAGAGGGATTCGCCTAATCTGCCAAAAAAAAATTTTTTTTTTGAGCAATAAACTCAATTAATTGAGAAGCTTAGGAAATATCATGCAAATAAATAAGTATGTTTTTTAAGTAAAAAACTTGGTAATAATAATTTAAAGAAATGCTCAAAAAAATTTAATTTTTTATAATCAATTGATTAATTAATGAAGAAACGAGAAATGATACTTTCTATGTTNATGATTTCCTACCACTTAGTAACGGCTACATCCATCAATTTATTGATACAAAAATATTTTAAGAATTTGTTAAATAATTGTTAGTTAAATATTTTCGGCTACTCATTATTTTAAAAAAGTTATTAGGTAACTACTAGAAATGAGATAATGGAAATTACATTTCATTCACCTCTGAAAAATTTATATGAGTTTATCAACTCACTTAGAAGCTATGATCTTTTTAGAAATTGTAGTTTTCAAAATCTGACATCGGGATTGTTTCTTTATTAACAGAAATCCTTTAGTTTATACAATATTAGTTAAAATACACATATACAATGAATAATAAGATGGCTAAAAGTGGGGAAATAGACTAACAATTCCTAAGTAAGTTTTTGAGAAAAGTTTTGAATTTCTGCAATGACACAAAAATTTCAAAACCAGTACATAATAAGATGTAGTCCTCATAATGGGACTATGTTGAACATAGTTGCTATGATGTAATTCTCTACTAAGAAACCTGAAATGCCCTTTTTTAACAAAAGTGTTGAAATTCAATAGACCTAATGGTTGATGTGACAATCCATTTACTAATTTGGGAAGTTGTGAATTACCTGTCCTGAACCGATTATCGAAATTTTAGATACTAAAGCTCATTTAAAGAGAATTAAGTTATATTTTTGATTTGATTTTCTTAGTAGGTAGCCTATTTTATCATTGTCAACCTTGATATTCTAATGTTATTTAGGTTTATGGTAAAATAGTATTACTAATTTTTGAAAAATTGTGAGGTGTAGTTTTTGAAATTACTTTTGAAAAATATTTGTTCCAAGAGATTTTGATTCCTCAGTTTTGATGAGAATTTCAATTACTTTTACAGTACCAGTAACATTCGTTTCATAATGAGAAAAATAGAAAAGTTTTTCAAATTTAACTATTTTTAATTTATTTTCCTTTTCATGAGTAACGAGCCATGAACTTTAATTGAACTGTGACATATATTGAACTAAAGATATTAACATCTGGTTTCTTGATATATTTATCCCGTGTTAGGAATCGCACGTTTAAAGGCAAGACATCGTTAATCTCTAGCTCACACAAGTTTC